TCTATGTGTGAATGTTTAGATGAAGCAACAGATAATTGGGGTATTAAAGTTGAACGTGTTGAAATCAAAGATGTACGTTTACCACATATGTTACAACGTATTATGGCCGCTGAAGCTGAAGCAGCACGAGAAGCAAGAGCAAAAGTAATTAATGAACATTATGTTATTTAGTATAGAAGTTTTTTTTTTCTTCTTTTCTTTCTAGATTATTGCTAGTGAAGGTGAATTTAAAGCATCACGTGCATTAAAAGAAGCAGCAGATATTCTTTCACAATCACCATATGCTTTGCAATTACGTTATTTACAAACATTAAATGGTATTGCAACAGAACAAAATTCAACGACTGTTTTTCCATTACCAATTGATCTTCTTTCATTATTTCAAAAACCTCAATTACATTCAAATACATTTGTATTTAAAAAACCACCAACAACATCAACTAAGATGGATATTCCAATTGCAGATACAATAATATCATCAACAACAGCAACAGATATTTACTGTATTGAATATATTTTCCTTGTCTATGAATAAATGATTGATATACAACTCAATAGAATTTCGATGAATTTCTTGATTATATTTCATCTTTCTATTTATGCTTCTTATTTGAAATACTTCAATGAAATAAATAGAAATGAAATTCATAGATATCTTGTAGGATCATAGCTTTAAAACGTATATGGCAAGAATAATTGTATACTGTATAAGTAGAGATAAAATTTCGTTGAATGTTAATGAAAATGACCAAAAGAGTAGCGATTATTTCGTTTTGAAATCATCATATAGACATCAAGGAGTAGAAAAATATCAAAAATTCATATAGATGTGAAGAAATGAGATGTTATTTTTACAAACTCAATGATGGATAAATAAAATATTCAGTCCGTAAAACTATAAATGTAAAGAAATATATGAGATATTACATTTGATCGAAAAGTAAAATGACGAAGAAGACGAAAACTTCATTAGAACGAGAAGAAACAAATATTCAAATTTTTACGATATTTCCAATGTCCATGAAAGATGTTAGAAGACACTATGTTGATCTACCATCTTTTCACAAATTTATGAATTGAATTGATTGATTTAAAAAGTTAAATATTGAATAATATCAATAAGTAGACGTAAGAAAAATTAATAAAAAAAAAATTCAATAACAACGAAAATGTTTAGACAACCAATAGCTATAAATAATTTCCAACTTCATATTTAGCTTGTATTGTTTATATGATTCTTTCTATTATTTCACTTAATTATTTCAAAAAACGTCTTCTATAATCTTTATTCGACAAATTACTTTGTTGAAAAACCTTGATAAACAAGTGTTCGATACTTTCTTTGCATGAATTACGCGAATTGGTAGTAAACACAAATAAAATATGTTTGATGATATATGAAACTAATCAATTTGAATATTATGTACGAATGAAGTAACGGAAGGACGTCACAACAGATACACATGTTATTTTCTTTACAAGGACGTTCAAATTATTTTTGATTGTTTTTATTGATGATACTGTTTTTTCTCATTCCTCTACTACCTATTTATGTTTTGCTTTTTTGAAAAGGGGCAAAATAGTGTACTACTAGATTCAAAATTAATGATCAATATTGATAACAAATCGTTAGCATGGGAATGACTCATATCTGAAATTATTTCAAAAGAGCATTTGGTATAAACCAAAAAATAATTAACACCATAAATTCATGATTTGAAATATATAATTTTTTATTATGTGTATGCATCGTATTAACTAGAAAAAAATGATCATTAAATTTTCATTATCATTATTATGAAGTAAAATGCCACTCAAAATCGAAGTCTATAAAACATTTTTATACTTGTTCAAATTATTGTTTACTATATTGTTCGTGTATAAAAATATCTTAATTTACATATTTGATTGCGTTTTTGTTAATTATGAGACCATAGACGAAATATAAATATGTCGAATACATTTTTGCTTGATCAATTAAATGTCTTCTTTTTTTTGCTCTTTTCAGCAATTGCAGACACAATTATTTCAGTGTATTCAATTAATTTGAACATCATACTTATACTTCTGTCTTACAAAAGTAAGTAAAATGTCCATTGGTAATATTAACAATGATTTTTTTTTTTTTTGCATTTTAAGAAAATAATATCTTCAATGATAGTCAAACAAGCTAATTTGATTGCTATTCAACAAGATTCACTTTATAATAAACTTTCTTCAAATGATCTTTGTACTATGTTTGATGAATTTCTTATTGAATTTGAACGAATGGAAAAAAGTGGTGTAACAACAACAAATATGTTTTTAGATGCTGTAGAAGAAATAGTTGATGCTGTACTATCAATTTTACCTTATAAATTACATGATCGAAAAGTGCTTTCTCATCCACTTATGCATTTTCTACATCAAATACTTATTACTCTATTAGATAATTGGTGTGTGTCACATTTATCTTTAAACATACAAGAAATAGATATATTTCTTAAGATTACACTTATTTTTGTTCATATTGCCGAACAAGCAGCTGTAGATAATACTGATAAAGAGAAAGAGAATATGAAATATATATTATCAACAAAAGAATTTTTATTCAAAATACACGAACAAATTGAAGATAGTCTTCTGAATGTAAAAGTTCTTATTAATGATCATAAAATATGTGCATTAGCTTTATTAACTTTAAAGTTATTACGTGGATATCCTTTTTATTATACTGTAGAAAAAAATCAATCCTTGAGTTATTATTGTAAGTTTTCTAAAGAGTCATTTACTCATCAATAATAAGAGTTTTTTAATACGCTATTTAGTAGTCATCGATTGGCTTCATTCATACGATTTGGTCCAAGCAGCGAATCGACTTGAACACAGTAAACTACTTCCTGTTATCGAACATTATCTTCTTTTCATTTGTTGGGAATATTTGTGTTCTACGTGTTTGGTCAAACAAGATTATTCAACTCAAATCACTTCAATGAATATTATTCAATCTATTTGCGATAAACTTCTAACACATTTCGAACATGCTCTTGATCGACCACCACCTCTTACATTTCCTAGTCTTTCTTATATTTTCAAACGATATCAACAACTTCTCAACGTTCCCCAACTGCCTTCTGTCGATAAACATGCAACAAATATTATTGATCGTTTAATCAAAATTCTACAAAGTCCATCATCAAATAATCCTGATGATGATGCATTGATTATTCTTGCTTTAGAAACATTCTATAATTTATCGAAAAATTCTGACATTCGTGCTATTATGAAAAAACTACATTTAACATCTCTCTTCAAAAAATATACACCTATTGAAATGGGTAAGAAGCGAAAGTTAGCATTTCTAATTCTTGCANACACCCACAGCCAGACCAACACCCACACCCACACCCACACCCACACCCACATCCACACTCAACGCCACACCACACCCACATCCGCCCTCAAAGCCACACCACACCACACCCACACCCACACCCTCAATAAGAGTTTTTATTTCCTGAAAAAAAATCAAAGAGAGAAGAGACAATGATACTCATGAAAATGAGCAACAAGAGAATATAGGATAGAAAATATATCTAATAAGAAAACGTTAAATAGAGGACGCTAGTTTATGGGTCATTAATTAACATAAAACTAAGTCGATCGATCCACACATAATTATCAATTTTTTTTATCATTTAGAATTTTATCTATTTCTTGTTTACTTCGTAAACATGAGTGCTTCGTATATCATTTTACATTTATTTTCGATTTAGTATTAGGTAAAATTCTTCTACTGATGTAATTAAACTGATTACCACTGGTTTTCTCATGACTAATTGTAGAAAGCAACTAAAGGTATGTGAGATTATAATCGAAATTCAGAACGATTATATACTTTGTCGTCTCGGCCGAGATTGTGGAAGAGTAAGTTCGTAGAAATTCGTACCGAAAAAAAGATTATCGAAAAGAAAGAGCAGTGATCTGAATATTGCCGAAATAGAGATCATCGATGGAATAACCTTGAAATGCAGATCGCCGAAAGATTTTCGCTAATAGGCATTGATGATCTTCATTTTGATGATCAATCTTTTATGTTCAAGATTCATACTAGATTTGGACAGAACTACAGTTACGGGTTTAGAGTTATAAGAACGTTGATGTCGTTCTTTATTATTAGAGGTATAAGTCGATGCCTCGATCGGCGGTGGTAGCTCCGAAATTCTCGGCCTTCGGCGGTGATGGCTGAGAGATCTTTAAAATTTTCCATTTTTCGGCGGCTGTGACTTAGCCGCTCGGCTTACACCTCTACTTATTATAGTGTAGAATGGCAAAAGAAGGATACGCTGATACGATGAATGAGAATTTTATTATAATTTTTTCGCTTTTAGTGGTGAAATATACCGGGTAGGCCAGATTAAATAAGTATTTTTTATTTCTTGAATATCTTAGTCATTTTTAACCTGATCGAGCTCAACTTTTTTCATTAGATTCGACATGTCTTCTTCTACGAAAATATATATTTTATTAATCTAAAATAGTTAAAATCATTTTATTTCAAACGATACAAATGATTAGTCCAATTTGCACAACTTTCAAAAATATCTTCTGTTCTAACTTTCTTCACAGCATGTTTTAATTCCTCCATTAAAGTTTTTCTTAACTGTATGTGTATTGTATATTTCACTGATATTAAACATTTTTCATTGGACAAAATACAACCAAAAAAAAGTTAGAACAGAAGTTATTTTCGGAAGGTGTCCAAATTGGACTAATCATTTGTATCGTTTGAAATAAAATGATTTTAAACTATTTAGATTAATAAAAATATATATTTTTGTAGAAGAAGACATGTCGCATCTAATGAAAAAAGTTGAGCTCCATCAGATTAAAAATGACTAACATTAGATGCGAAAAAATTCCTTTTGTTATTCGTAGAAATGCATAGGCATTGGTGTTCTTTACACAGTACAGTGGGCATATCTCAGTTCGAAGAGAATGAATTCTGTTCGAATTTTCAGCGCTTCTAGCCCTAACTACAATGCTGTTTTTCTGTAAGCTTCACCTTGTGGTGAAGCTTCCTTGTTGAGATTCGAATGTATCACTAAAAAGTAGGATTTGAAATTTTGTTGAAAAATTCTGAAGTTTTAAAGTTTCTACATAGTTTTAAACGTAGTTAAAAACTTCAAAATTAGCATAACTTGTAGAACATTTGATCCTCTATCCAGCTATGTGTAAATCATTTTGTTAAATTTTGAGATCAACGACATCGGCTATCACCTTTGAATCGTATTCTGCTATTTTGTGAAATGTCATGTTTTTGCCATAACTCAGCTGTATGCAAGCCTTTTGGGGTGCAACTTTTACTGTCCGTGTATCTCCGTGATACCTATTAGTAGCCCGAATTTCATTGAATTTGGAGCAATTTTTTAGAAACAGCGGTGCTCTTTCTCTCATCTTTTCAGTAAAAAGTCTTTCACGTGATATATCCATTTCATCTCCTTCAATTGTTGGATTGTCAAAATCATCCTATATACCATCTAATATTATTGGATCACTCCTACATCTTCCAGCGCATTGATGCATTTGACTAATCATATAATCATTTTCTATTGTAACTGGTTCTTATCTTTAACCCGTTCGTTAATCTCTTTTTATTCATAGATGTTTTAAAACAATTCTATTGATCATTATTTCAACATATTTAATGCAAAGTACCAACGCAAAGTGCTCTACTTCATTCTCAATGTTAGGATAGAAATAATTTGTTCATATCAATAAAACTCGCAAATCTACACATGTCTGTTGATATATTATTCTAAACTATTTTATTCAAAGAACTAAAAAGATGAAAAATGAAAACATCCTCAAATTACTCTTTCTTTTAAATCTATTCTCAGTCAGCTCGATTGATTTTACTCCCAAAAGAAGCTATGACATTGAAAATGATTACATATTCAATAAGAATGAAATTTAACAAAACCTTCAAAATATTTCTTGGTATTTGTTCGTTCGGAAGATTTTCGGAAACGTCTATTTGCCTTTGTTATTCTTTCAATATTCATTTGCTCATTTTTCTGTAAAAATCAAATTACAAAAATGCAGAATTTGAAGTTCTATATCGGTCGTTGGGAATATTTAACAAAATAAAATTGAAAGACTTTTTGATAATAAACGTCTTTGTTAATGATTGTTGTGGTTTGAAAGGAAAGAATATGAAACAATCAGATGGATTTGTCTTTTAAATCCAATTATTGAAAAAAACAATCAAAATTGACTTTTAAATATACAAGTATTGATATTGAAGTCAATCAGGATAAAGGTATATACATAAAGACAGACAGAGGAAGAAAGAGAACGAGATAATCTTCGATTAATATTCCTCGTTATCCTGCTTATCTGCGAATATAATTTCTATTCCACTTTCGATTCATTTCGTTCATATATTTTTGCTTTCTTCACGTCGATTATCTTGTGTAAAAATACCCAAATTTTAACATTAGGTAATAAACTCTGTTGAGTTATTTAATCAGGGATTTGATCTTCTTCTTCATATTTATCATATTCACGACGTCCTTCTCTTGGACCATAACATTCTTTTAAATATTTTTTCATTTCAATTGCATCCATTTCACTTTACAAATAGATGAGATAAAATTTGTTTAAAATAAAAAGCCAAACAAACTCTTCAGCTATTGGAAATTTTGATCTTTCAGTTCGATAGATATCAGTTGTTGTTGTATTATGAATATCTGTTTATTCAACAAAACCTTGTTCAGGTTCTTCTTCATCAGCATCTATGAAAATAAAGAATAGATTTGTTTTGTTTTTCTAGATTATAAACAAGCCAACTTGATCGCTAATAAAATTTTTTCCAGAAATTTTCTTTTTTTTATGTTTATATTGATGACTTACTTTTTTTTCTTTGATGTTTTTCATCATTCTAAATAATAATTTGATTTATGAATTAAAAATTCTATTAAAATAAATAACCTCTTCTTTTCCTTCCTAAAAATGAATTAGAATTGAATATTTTATTAAATAAAATTATGTAAAATTAGTCTCTTCATCATTTTCTTCTTCCTCTTCTTCTACTTTATTTATTATTTGAAACTACTGTTTATTCTTCTTGAATAACTATTTTATTTATCTACTATTTTTTTAAATGTATATAAAATAAATACAATCAACAATATCTAACTGGTTATTGCATCAATCTATGACCACGTGAATTGACTGTCGATGAACATTACTTGTTCTATAATAGAAAAAAAAAGAGACTAACTTTTATTCTTTTACCTTTGATCACTTACGGATCTTTAAAATTGTTAAGTTTGATTAAGTAAGAAATTCAATTACTGGCAAAATAAATTTTTAATATAAACACCTCTTGATGATGTTGTCTTTAATTCAGTAAAACGAATACCGCGAAATGCCTAGAAAGAAAACAATAGATATTATTTAATATTAAAAATGAATACATACATCACATGTGATACAATCATGGATAAGTAAATATGAAAAAAATTTGGCAAACTTTATCAATTTATCATTCTTGATATTATCAACAACTTTATATTCATCTTCAAATACTTTTTCAAAATATTTAACATATTATTTTTTTAAAGAACACAACTGTTCACCAAGTAAAGGAAAAAATTGTTCATATGCTGAACCAAACAATCAACAATCATTTGATATAATTCGATCTGAAATTTAAATTATACAAAAAACCAATTGAATATTTCAAAAACATACTTCTTGTGCAGGACGTAAATGCAGTTCAAGTAATTTCTTTGCACAATCTTGAGGTTCATTATTTTCCCTAATCATCTTATACAGATTTATACGAATTTCTGGTAAATTTGTTTCTTTTTCGTCAATAACTGTTTCTTGTTTTTCTTCCAAAAGAAACATTTTAATTTAATCTTACCAATTACAAATTCAACTTACTTTTCTCTTCATCAACGTCAGCATTTTTTCTATCACCTTTATCATTATTAATAGATGAATTTGATTTATTTTCATCATCACCACTTTTATGAAAAAACATTTCTTTAATAACATTATATTGTTCTTCATGTTCTTCATATTTTTTATCATAATTAAATACTTCTAAATAAAAAGAAGAAGGATAAACAAAATATTTTATTGAATATGAATCATACCAAATAATGGTTTAGTTTCAAATGTATGGAATGTAATCATATGTGTATATTGATTATTTTTATCGGCTAAATTAAGACCAGGTGCAATCGATGGATTTTCTTTAAATTGATCTTCTCGCATAGTAAATAAAATTTAAATCATGTATCGTGTATATTTGTTTAATGAGGATTTATTATGTGAATTTTTTAATGTTACAAATATAGAATTTAATCCACGTGGATTAACCTGAGATAATTTTTGTCCACATTCTTTGACGAATTCAATAGCTAATTCAACATCATCATCGGAGGGATTTTTGAGTAAAAAAATTAATATTTCGAAAGCAGTAAATTCGTGTAACTAAATAGAAAACGAAACGTAGGAAATATTCTTTTAACTTTTTAATAATACATACGACATTTTGATTTATCAAATGTGCAATAAATTTTATTGTCGAGAAGCATATGGCTTTATCATTATCTTCATATGATCGACAAAATGATATTATTGTTTTTTTGCTAATATAATCGCCAACTATATTAATAAATGCATTGATAACTGAAACTAAGCAAGCATATACTCGTGTATTATGTGGTGATGCCGATTGAGCACGTATAATACTTCGAACAAAAATGGCCACAACCTTTCACTATGTTTACCATGAATAATTCATTGATGATGTTTGATATGTTTGAAATATTTGCGTTATGAACAAGACGATTTATTTTTCTTTCCAAATCATTCCATTCTTTATGTTGATTCTTTTTAGATGATTTATTACCTAATCGTGCAGAAGACATTGTTTTTAACAGATATCTAAAACACAGTACATTTAGATACTTTTCTTCTATTAGCAAAGTGCTAAGCGGTACTTTGTTCAAAACAACAAAGCACCCAGAGCTCGTATCGGAGGAACTTGTGATTATTTGAAAACAGAAAATCAACTGTGTTTAAATATCGTTTCACGTTTATATGCATGAGAAAAAAAAAGAAGAAAGGAGAAACAGAAAGAAGAAACATCAACGACTGGATTTGGAGTGAATCATAAGAGAAATTGTATTTGAATAGAAGAAACAATAACTTTAACTTTATCTGCTCTTTTCTAAAAACAAAGTAAAACAATCAATTGAATCATACGCTATTCTATTTGTATTCGTTATTTTATTTTACCTCATATGTCACCATGTAAATTCACAAAATTAATTAGATAGTCGGGAACGAATAGAAAAGACAATGATCTCACCATTCATTCATTCATAATAATAATAAAATAAATCATGTCGCTATTTGCCATACACGCTTCACTTTTTATTTGTTTTTTTTTCCTCTCTCTTCTTCTTTATATTCACTCTCTTATATTTATATCTATCTTCTTCTTGAGAACTGAATCAAAGCATGTGATAACACCATCGCTACAATCGAAGTTTGTAATAAAAATTCGATTATAATAACTCATACAGACAATATCATTGATAATAACGTAATTAGATAGCTTATCTACAGTTGCAGATGATAGTGATCATCATCTAACAATATCTAAATTTCAAATAACTCGACCATTAGAACTTATTTCCAAACAAGATGAAAGTGAACAATAAATTGCTCTTATTGCCAATTATGTCAAAATTTTCACTGCACCAAAATGTGTACTTTTTATATTGATTTCTATTTATAATTATTTTTATTTTATCAGGAGATTTCGATCGATATTATTGCACATTCAATTCTAATATACAGAATTTTATCTGTAAGTTTTACATTTATGAACAATTGAATCCTGTACAAAGTCACGACGTTTCGCAATATCTTCCTAAAAAGGTCTGCTGGTACCGAAAAAGTAATGCCAATCGCATGATTAGTCAATCTTATTCCTTCGCCTTTCTAGGTGATATTTTCATGCCTCTTCACTCTAACTGATCACATGATTTCCATGCAGCTCTTTAGCTTCAAATAGAGCTCTGAGAGTAAAAAACTTTATTTGTCAAGTATGAAGGTATGATATGACTAAAGAGAATATAAATCTTCTAAATAATATGCATATGTATCTTACCTACTAGTCGTATATTGAATAACAACATTATGTAAATTCCTTCTAAAATTAAAATGATGTAAATAAGTTAATAATTTACATAAACATTGAATAGCTAAATATCCAAGATTAAGTTTTGATGGTTCAATTGTTTTAATTTGTTTATGTTTATTTTTTGTTAAATGATTATCTAGAAGACTTTTTTTAGCACATTGTTCAAGAAAATTTTGATAATGTCTCAATAAAGTTTGTTCAGAATGTCGAATTACCTCAACATCTTTTGATAAAATTTCCTTGTGATTTTTTTAATTTCATCATTTTCATCTTTTGTTTGTTCTTTTAATGAACGTATACGATAACCAGGTACAATATCACGAAATAATTCAACTAATGAAACCATTTTTAATTTTCTTATTGTTATGATATTAATAGATTGCCAAGATTAAGTAATAAACGTGATTCTTTTAAATTTGATATTTCTTCATAAGGATTTTTCATAATTAAATCACATAAAGTAACTATTGTTTGTTTTGTTTCATTTAATTTTTTTTCACATTCAGCCATTACTTCAACAAATGAAACAGGTTTTGTTGGCTGTGAAGGAGGAGATGATGATGATGTTTGTTCTTCATCTTCGTCTTTTTCTTTTTCTTCATTTTCTTCACCTTCTTGATTCATTATTGGTGTTGATTGAGCAATTAATTGTCCTCGATCAGTTTCCATTGGGTATAATGGTCGTTGTTGATTTGTATTATTAAATGATGAACGTGGTAAACGTTCATATGATTCAACATGTTGATTATCATTATCATCTGTTTGAATATTATTTATTGGTTGAGTTTCTTCATTATCCGAAAGTATATCTAATGGTAAAATAAGTTCATCATCATTATCATTGTGTTCATCTTCAATAATATCAGTTTCCATTTTTGAAATTTGTTGATTCGTTTTTGGTTGTGTTTTATTTTTTTGATATATTAATAGATTCTTTTTTCAATGGTACACATTAAATTTAACTTTTTGATGAAATATTTTTTCTTGCTATCCTATAAAAATAAACTTTTTTAACATGTTACAGATTGAATTACGTAAAACTCGTCGAAAAAGTTGGCTAAAGCTTCAATTAAAGATGTACCTTCTGATAGAACAATTCTTTATTCGTTTGAAGTTTTTCGGACAATAATTTTATTATATTAAAACATTAAATTTTTTCTGTTTATATTTTAGGAAAAACTTGCGTCTGCTACACATTCGTTAACCGATAAATTAATAACAATTGAAATCAAACATGCACCAACAACTTCACGTGAATCTTTTCATTTGAAGAATTTATTTGTTCCAAAGTAAAGTATGTGATTGTTTTCTTGTCTCATATTCTGTTACAGATTATTGAAAATTGCTGATTTGAAATTAATTGGTCGAAATTATTATTCACTTGATAAAAAAATTCAACCGGATCGATATAAACTCAAACTTTTTCCAGCTTTTTTCAATGGTGTTCTTCTGCATGAAAGTTACTTCGACGAAGAAGTATTCTTTAAAAAAATGAATTCCATTATATTTAGGCCAATTCTTGATTATATACAGGTGCATTTTTTTTCATATGATTCTCCATGCGATCGAAGAAAGATAGAAAAAGAATATTATTCGATGGATTATCAATTCATTCATCGTTCATTTAGATTATACAAAAATGTATCATTGTTTATACAGACGACATAGGTCAAATATAACCTTCGAGTATATCGATATAAATACTGACATTTAGAACATGCGCAAAATCGATAGAGATATAGATGAACATGAAATATTCATGTGTTCAATTGAATGATCTACCCGATGAAATTCTTATGATTATTTTAAAAAATTTGACGAATGCAGAAGTACTTTATTCTTTATTAGGCGTCAATAAACGACTAAATAATATTGCAGTTGATCCCGTTTTTACAAATAATTTATCTCTTGTGATGTCTACATGGGATGGTTTGGTTTATTCATTACCTGATCCAATACTTGATCGATTTTGTTTACATATTTTACCTAAAATTCATCAAAATATTGAATGGCTTCATCTTCAATCACTATCAATGGAACGTATTCTTCGTGCTACAAATTTTCCGAATTTGTATGGCATTAGTTTACATAATATTCAAGCAAAAATAGCTAGAGATCTTTTTACGGGTAAAATACTTTCGTTCTTCCAATCAAAGATAATTATTATAGATATTACTAAATTCAAAATGATTTCACTGTATTTGGATTTGTTAGTATGAAGAGAAGAAGGTTATCATGAAAGCGATGATTTCCCATGAAGTTTAAGTATTTATACAAAAATGAAAGATCTGCATGTAGTCTTTAATTTAAAGTTTTCAACAAATTTTTGAAAAAAAAAATCTAGAATAAAATCAATCAATTTTTAATACTCTATCATTGTTTAGAACAAACTTCCGTAATTCATACTTTGAAAAATCAACTTTTATCATTTACTATCGACATTAGTACAAAAGGAACCGAATGGTATAAACGAGACAATAATGCAATTATATTTAATCATATCCTGACCATGTTGGCTAATTTACAATATTTAAATTTTGGTCGATCTTCAATTTGCGATCATCGATTATTCTTTGGTATGAGACGTCCAACTGTTATCTCTACAAATTTGTTAGAATTACATGTCTCTTTGCGTACTTTTGATGATTGTCTTTATTTACTTGATGGACATTTCAATCAACTTCGTTCACTTTATGTTGATGTTAATATGATTCTCTCTTCGGATAGAAGCGTCAACAATACGGTAGAGATTATTTTATTTGATATCTAGTTTAAATCAAATAATAATATTATTTTTTTGTAGAAAGAACTACCTAGTTTAAAATGCTTTTGCCTACACTGTAAGTGGATAACAACTGTTTATGATGAATTAGTTGTGCCACTTTTACATCGAATGTCGAATTTAGAAAAGCTTGATTTGTCTATTACTGTACATGAAAGGAAAACAGTTTTTGATGGTAATGATTTGAAGATGAATATCATTAATTATATGCCAAAATTAAACAATTTCACATTTAATATTCATTCATTAAGTAGTTTTTATAATAAAATTAATTTATCATTAAATCAAGATATTCAAAGAACTTTCAGAGTTTTTAATGATAAACAAATAATCTATTGGACTGATTATTTTCCAAAAGAAAAGAAAGGTCATTGCCATATTTATTCTTGTCCATATAAACTAAACTATTACATTGATATAACAAATAATTTTCCAGGTGGAATATTCAAATTTGTTCGCGAAGTATCATTATTTGATGAACGGCCTTTTGAACATGAATTTTTCCTTCAAATTGCTCAATCATTTCCATTCTTGGAAAATTTATGTGTACGTAATCACGAACGACAAATGTATAAAGAATGTAGTAAATCAATTAATGGAAATCAACATTTATCAATCATTAAATATCCTTATCTTAAACAACTTGATATTATTTGTACTTGCAAAGATTACCATGAACAATTCTTATTCGATACTAAAACGTGTTTACCACTTGATGTTCGTGTTAGTATGCATTATGAACGAGTGAAACAAGTGACATGCAATTTCACAAGTAATAGAACACGAAATAATTGTGCAAAAATGAATTACGTTAATTTATATATAGGAATAAAAATTGTTGGAGATCCTGAGAATTTTTGTGGTGAAACACGAGAACTTTCTGAACATATAAAAAGTTATTTTCCTCGTACGCAAATAGATTGTTTATTGTGAATTTATTATTTAAATAAAACATGAACAAAAGCGTCTCAGAAAAAAGAACAAAATTGAACTGGAATTAGCAAGAACTAGCAGATGTGAAAAGAAACTGGTGTGCATAAAACAGTTGAATTTTATTGTAAGCAAGAAAGTAGATTTTCGGAAATAAATATGATCTGAATTTAAAATTGGGACGGTTTAGATTTCGAACATAGTATAAGTGATAGTTTAGAAAGGGATTTTCATTTAAATAAATAAGTAACACATAGATTCTGTTTATAAATTTTAAACATTTGTTAGGTGGTGATCCTTTGTCATAGAGAATCTGTCTCTTTGAAGCATGAAGAGTTTGACAAATTGCAAGGCTTTACCTATTCAAGTTGATCGATTGTTCAAAGCGTGAAACCAATCATGAAAAGAAACGATTTTTTTTTGTATTATGCACTAAAAGACTTCTATATAAATCAATTAGTTAAATTAATATAAAAATAATTGAATATGCTGAAGATACTAGATAAACTATGCTAAAATGATTATTGGTGTTCTATCAGTTTATTTACACTTAAATTTTATTTGAGATTAGTTGAGAGAAAAGTCATTTAAACGATGATCTTGCGCTTATCAAACACAAAGTGTGATTGGAAATATCTTCTAGAAATATACTTCAAGTGGAGCACCTTACTTATATTTTAGTTTATAAATGCATGAATGAATTTATATGTCTAAGACGAATAGAAAACGATAAGGCCAGAAAAAGTATAATCAACATTTATGGAAGCATATATCTATGTTCGAGCGATGTTTTCGATCACAGATATAATGGACAGTAAAGGGCAAAGTTGGTCATAATTATCTTTTAACTATAACAATAAATCAACAATCAATAGCTATTTTCACTATATTTATGAGTCGACGAAAACGATCAAGTAAGTCAAAATTTTCATCAAAATCATGTTCATGAATATGAATTTATCTTCAGTCAGACCAACACTTGCTTGTAACCGACAATAGTCATTTTAGTTGAATTCCATACAAGATAACTTGATAATAACAAACAGGATGTTTCTTAGAATTTGCATAGAAATTCTATGAAAAATAATGTTCTCTTCAATTATAAAATGATCAAAATTGATCGTTCTGCATGGATCTGAGAAAAAGCCGCAAGATGAGTTTTCCAAAGGTAAAAATGAGGAACTTCATGAGCTTTTATTATGTCAAACCTACATTCACTGCTGCGCGATCATTGCTAAATTTTGGGAAAACAAATTTGGGAATCATGATAAAAGTTGACATTGAGAGTTTAACTTTAGCAAGATCAAATTTTCATATGGTAATGAGCAATAAATACGTAGTTATGCCATTCTTTCGATGATATCTAGAAAAACTTTTTTTGCCATAAAGGTGACTTAAAAGCGTTGAAGGCAGTAGTTGAGGAAGTTGAAGCATTGAATGTAGTTGAAAAAGTGATAATAGTGGTATTTAAAGTTGAATTAAATCTTGTACTACTCAAAGTAGTCGAAAAATGCTTGTATTCGAAATCGAGAAGACATTTGAGTCTGCAAAATGTTTTTGAAGTATTTTTAATGGCGTTAGAAAATACAGTGAACGAAACCTGAATGCTACAAAAAATAAGTTCTTCAGTTCATTTTTCTGGTGCAATTGTGGGTTGTAGACGAATAAGTATATAGAATTGTACATATTGATAAGTTTTGATCCGCATAAAATGTCGAATATCTTGTGTGAAAGTCAAATTCTCGTTGCCTTTTGATTTTGTATTTTCAGAAAACTTATTATTTTAAAAGTTGTGAAATCTAATTGGCTTCATTTTTGTAGAATGTATTTTTACTTTAATCTAAAGCTGCAGCACAATTATCAAATAAATAAAATGAAAAAAGCATGACAGACTGACGTTACTATCTACAAAGTGTGATCTTAATTTGTGGCTGTTTGATCAAGTTTTCGACCTCTTCAATTTTGACAGAAGGGAGAACTGAAGATTCTCTAACTACTCGAATTTTTACAGTTCAATAAAATTGATTCTTCTCGAGCTGAAAGAATTTTATATGTTTTACTGTAATTTGAAATAAAATTTATTACCTATCGATGAATTAATATGAACAAAGGATTATAACTAAAAAAAGTATCTCAACAGTTGCGAACTTTTTTCTTCTTA